GAGAAACTCAGCTGCTACCGGCAAGGTTGAAAGTAAAACTGAAAAAGAGCAGCTGCAAGCAGAGTAAACATGCTCTATTTTTAGATGCTTAGATGCCAGCTCTGCCGCCAGCGCTGCTTCATAAACTGAAGAACACACAATAGCAACACAACTAGAAAGATACATGGGTGCACATGCACACTAACTTCACCCACACACAACTTGTTTACAAGAAATGTGCTGCATGACCCCCCAACCAGACCTGAGTTGAGGGAGTCTGACTAAACTATTCTATTTTCCCCACAGTAACATTCACAGGTCCCAGGTATTTGATATCAATATGTTTTGCTGAACTGTTTTTCAGCCTACCATACCTGCCCAGCATCCATCACCTCCTTCTGGAAACAACATCCTCTCCCTCACCAGTTCTAGTAAGAAGGGGAACTACATCCCCCCAAACTCAATTGATGCAGTTTGGGTGAAGCTACCCCTCTTCCCACTATGAGTATATTACAAAGACCCGGCCAATCAGCATATTTTATCCCATTTGGCCACAATAATTGGCTCAGTGATGGGCATGTGACTCAAGGCAAACTAATGAGATTAATTTCCAGGACTTTTGTTGGAATAAATGGGAAAGAGACAATCTTTGTTCAGGCACTGCTAGATTAAGCAAAAGGAACGTATTGATTCACTGACGAGAAAGAATGGTGAGATGACTCATAAAACTGAAGGAAAAGTAGCAGGTGCCAGGCCTTAAGGCTCAAGGCTCCCAAGACACACACTCCTTCTCATGTCTGCTCAATTTCTTTCTATCAACAATATCTCTCCACATGGAAGGGAAGATGGTTTCCAGGAGCCTTAGGATTACATCACTTTATCTTTAACAATTCCAGCAAAAAGACAAACACTACATGCCAGCACCCATATATCAATTTCACAGAAGGACTCTGATGAGCTCCACTTGTGTTGTCAGAGTGCTAAATCTTGAAATAATTATTTTTGCTAGTGAAACTATGATTGATCCAGACTATCATGTTGCCAGGTGGTGATTCAGACAATGAGGGAGAAACACACAAACACAAACTCAAAAAACCACCACTAACAAGAAAATACCACTGTTCCTGTCTTATAAAACTAGTAATCTAGTGGGGGAGATAAATTGCATGAATGAATATAAAATTGCCATGGTGCATGTAATGAGAAGTACATGGAGACCATAGCACAGAGAATGACTCATTCTGGAAGTACAGGGACACTTCCCTTGAGAAAATGACTGCAAAATTTAGATCAGGAGGAGAAAGGTAGGGAGTAGCATGTGCAAAATCCCTAAGGCAGAAGGCAGCATTGCTCACTGGAAGAACTAAGATAAAACCAGTATGACTGGGGAGAGCGTGGTGTGAAGTGAGACCGAAAAGGGAGGTAGGGGCCAGACCATGAAAATTTCCGTAGGCCCCATTAAATATTTTACACTTAATCTTTAAGTGCCATTAAAAGCCATGTAAATACTTTAAGGGGGTGGGGTAGGGAAAGGTAGAAGACACAAGCAAAGTTGTATTTGGAAAAGATCACTGACTGTTGTCAAAAGACAAAATTACAACAAGTTTAAAGATCTCGATTGGCTTTGTGTTTCTAGAATCATGCAACACTTCGTTTCATAAGATAGAATAAGTGTTCCAATGAATCAAGCAGAAGAAGTTGGCTTTACAGAAAGAAAAAGGGCTGAAAAGAGCAAAAAGTGGATTGGTCATTTCAAAGTTACTTCCCTTGTAAGACAAGAACAAGGAAACAGAACAATAGAGAAATAATTGATTGGTTAACATCAGGTTCCTTCAGGTTATCTTTTGTGTAAGGATTAAAGAGAGAGGGAACTGCATCATCATCCAATTGAATCTGGCCTGTTTGGGCAATTAAGCTGTTCTCTCCTGATTTCTTGGAAGATCAGACAACACCTCAGTTCTGGTTGGTGATATGGAACCTCAACATGAGTGACCTGATTTTGATTTTTAGTCTAGTCTGTTGGGACCTAGTGCAGGAGCTTGGTCAAAACAATGGCCTCCTATAATTTTTATTTAATACTATACTGTAGAGAACAATTTGGAGCTGGGCCTGAGTAACTGCAGGAAGATACATTGAGTCTTAAATTGATTTCCAACTGTCAGAGCCTCATGCACTCCTGCCTCCTCCTACTTTCCCATTAAGTAGATTACACTGGGGAAAAAAATCAATTACATGAATGAAAGAAGCTTTTAAATGAAAGATAATTTGTTTTGCAAAATGGCTCACTTTTTCTTTTGCAAAAAATTTTTTTCTCTGATTACAATTCTGAAAGTTCTCAGAATCAAAATGTGTTAAAACCCTAACACTTGTGTTAAAATCCTAACAAATGGAGCCAGAGAAGCATAAGCCAGGGAAGGTTCTCAGGCACATATGCCTGATAACAAGAACTATCACAAAAGACTGCAAAAACCACAATCTTGCACAAATGCCACCATAACCATACACAGAAAATACTTCTGCAATGACATTTGTCTAGCAACTGCCTGTCCAACCTTGGACTGACATCACCTTTGTTATTGATCCTTATAGCCAAAGATAATAGACTCAAAATAATTTATGCAATCCTCCTCATTCTGCCTTTCAAAACTCACCCTTACCCCAATCTTGAATACGCACATAGTTTACTATGGCACACATATTCCTATTGCAATAACCATTGCTGAATAAATATCATTTTCTTTTAGAGAGGCTCCCTCTCTGTTATTTAGGTTGATACAATCTGCAATTTGGGCTTATCAATTTGCTCTTTAAAGAAGTCAGGAGAATAAGGCAACAAAATCTCTCTACAATCTGTGAAGGTAGTAAAGTATTGAGACCCCAACAATTGTTCATTTCCTACCTCACAATCTCTCCAAGACTCAGGCTTTAAATACCATCACCCTGATGACTCTCAATTTATATCTCTAGCCCATACTTCTTCTCTGACCCTCAGTGTCTAAATTTTTCTACTCAACTTCCCCATTTGGATGTCTAATAAGCATTTCAAATTCAACAGGTAAAAAACAAAATTCCTGACTTCTGCCTTCATAATTGCTTCTTCTACGAGTCAGTTATTCCAAGTTGCTCTCAATGCCTCTTTTACCTCATACTTCACATCTAATATATCCACAAATTTTATGAGTTCTACTTCTAAACGATGCCCAGTATTCAATTCAGTTTTCATCACCTCAGTTACTACCACTCTGGCTCAAACCACTGTAACTAAGGCCTGACTTATTGTAATAACTTCCTGATATCACTTTTCACCAACTAATATGTATTTATTTTCATCTGGCTCCCTCCGTATATCCTTTGGAAGACCAAGGGCATTGCCTCTTTCATTTAGTGCTGTGTGTTGCTTTGCTTCCCACGATTTGTCACCCCTTTTCCCCTGGGTGACAGAGCCACAAAGGATTACTCAAAGCCCATCTCTTCCAAGCAGTGAGAAGCCCTGAAGGGGTTAATCTTCCAAACCCTCAAGAGAGAGGCATTCCTTCCATTTGGGAAATTAACCACAAATTGGGGTTCTTGCCCTGCATTTATTCTCCAGACCAGAAAGTTACAGGAAAAGAACATAGGTGGGGTTATAGTTTAACAATAGAGGCTGGTAGCAACTGTGAAATAAGCAAAGTGATATTCCATAATGCAATTTGCAACAAGTTAAGTCAATCCACCAACAAAAGCTTGATCTTAGCAAACATTCTCTCTCCTTACAGCAATTTCCCAGTATCTTTACATATCAACCAGTAACCTGTCTGTCCTCTGAGCCAGCACCCTTGCTGTGCTACAATTCTTTATCTTACAACAGAGACTAGCCTGGGGAAAAATTTCCTGTCTTTTGCAAGGTTAAGATTTTATATGTACTTTTAAGAAGTTAGGCTAAACCTGAAACTGCAAGAAACTAGGCCCTGTGAAATATATTTGCTTTATAAACGTAAGTATACTCCACACCGTGAACCCCAGGAGACACTCCATAAACGCTTGTTGGAATGAATGCATAAATATTTCATACCACTACATTTTCAGTATTTCATTTCATGAGATGCATGAGTGTGTGAAAATTGACAGTAGGGAAACCCCTAGCACAAAGCAATGAATGGAAAGGGGTTAAGCCGGTTGAAGCAGTTTCCACAAGCTGTTCCAGTTTGCCTCAGTGGGCAGGTTTTCCCTCTAAGCCAACATTCTGCTATTTTTGACCACTGTGGGTATAAATCTTCTCCCTAACTCTGCACCTCACACTCAACCTACCACCTAATCGCGTGTCTTCCTCCTGCCCTACGACGGGCCAGCCCACGCGGCTTTGGGCTGGAAAACGCACTTGAACACCCGCCCAGCTCTCACAGACGACGTTGCCTCCTCGGCCACGCGGGATTCTCTACTCAATTAGTAACTTAAGACGCCGGGAAGAAACAGTCAGAGTCTGAACCTGCAACCTGTCTACCGGTTAAGAAGCAGAGCGCACCCCGCACAAGGGATGGTCCCTTCGGCCTCTGGGGTTCATGGGAAGCGAAGTCGGCGTCAATCGCCCTGATCCAAAATGGCAGAATACTCGGGCGACTGTATATAGGTGTGAAGATAGGGCCACTGGGAGAAGCCAAGAGGAGAAGGGAGAATGAAAGCATAGTTGACCGAATATGGAGACGAAGGTTACAGAAAAGCGAATATCTAAGGACGACGAATCATCCAGCTGGCAGAAACAGCGTGCCTGGCGGGGGTGGCCACAAGCCACACTGACCTAACCCAAGATGGCGCCGGAGGTTGTTACCAGAGGCGCACGAGGCGGAGATTACCCTGATCCAAAATGGCAATAGCGGCAGATGCGCGCCGAGGGGCGGGAGCGCCAGGAGCGTCTTTGCCCTCACCCAAAATGGCGGCCGCCGTGGGCGCTGTCCCGGCTCCGCCCTGAGGCCCGGCTCCGCCCTGCGGTCCGGCCCCTTCTCTCCCTCTTCTCTCCCTCCGCCCTCTCGCCTTGCCGAGTCCGGGCGGAGGTGCTCGCGCAAGGAGAGCGGGCGCCGGGAACTTGACATGGCGGCAGCGGCGGCGACTGCTGCGACGAAGGGGAATGGGGGCGGGGGCGGCGGCGGGCGGGCCGGGGCCGGCGAAGCCAGCGGCACGCGGAAGAAGAAGGGCCCGGGGCCTCTGGCCACAGCGTACCTGGTCATCCTGCTGTACCGTA